CCTCCCAAGTAGCTGGGACTACAGGCGCCCGCCACAACGCCTGGCCATTTTTTGGTTGCAGCCATCGTTGTTTGGTGGGCCCAGGCTGGGGATTCGAACCCGCCACCTTAGGTGTATGTGGCTGGCGCCTTAGCCACTTGAGCCACAGGCACCAAGCCGAGTTGTCTTCATAATACAAATATTAGCCATGGCAGAGCGACCTACAAGGTCAGGTGGTTAAATTTGCAAACTCATCCTAGAAAAAGTCCTATGTACCTCATTGTTAAATATCACAATGGTCACTGTCAAAATAGTTCTCTTGGGAAGCTATGCACAGATACCTGTGCCTAGTCTGTTAGGTGGGCCAAGCTAACTCCATCTTAAATCTGAAAAAACCATTCTATGAGACTCTGTTAGAAGCAGACTTAACTCAGATAAGGGAGACATGCCACAGGCACTTCACTTCCTTATACTGGTCCAGTTACAAACCCATAAGAAATATGCTTACACCACAATCCTCTGACACCCTGATAAGAAGATCTGGCCCAGAGAGTTCTAATAATGAGCTGCATGTCCTCAGCACCCTGATAAGAAAGACTTGCCTATAAAATCAACTGCCCCTCATCCTGCCATGAAATGAACTGCCTCCCTCCCTAACCCTGCCTGTATCCCTTTTGATTTCAGCCCACCTGCACCCAGGTGTGAAATAAACTTTTCTGCATGTTTGTACATTTGGTCTCATGTAATTTGATCCAGATTTTATTTTACCTGTCATAGTCCACTCTTTTTTTAGGATGAGTTCACCGACTTAATTGTCAGACCTCCTACAATGACAGTCTGATGGCCATTCCAGAAAAAGTTCTAAAATTTCTTGAAGTGTAGATCAGGTGCTGGTGTCAGTATAGAACTTCCCAAGGGGAGTACTTCAAAGGTGGCTGTAGTGATATTCAGCAATGAGGTATGTAGTAGGACTTTTTCTAGAATAAATACACAAACTTAATTGTCCAACCTCCTAGTTATCCCTCAGTTCTTTTTTCCACATGAAAGCAAAGTTGTTCTGTTTATTTTAACTTGCCTCCTCTTTTGCAACCCTATTTAATCATTTTGCAAATTTGCTTTAGGGAATCATCATTGCCATTTCTTTCTCTGACTTGCTAGTGTGATTTAAAACTTTAATTGAATTACAGGTATATTTTAAAATCAGTGTTTTTTTTAAAAATATCACAGAATAAGGTATAATTTGTAACATAAAAGATCATGTGCTATGTCTACATTTGACCCCTGTGAATATTGACATGGAAAAATAACCTGATTCTATACAAAGATGTAGGATGAGAGAGAGGGATTAGTAAGCTCTCACCTAATGTGCACAATGTGAAGGAATACAGCACACCCCCTGGGTGTAGGGCTCTCAACTACATCTTCACCTTGGAAATGCAAACAATGTAACCTAATCATTTGTACCCTCATGTTAATCTGAATTTTTTTTTTCATCTGAAAATGAAAAAAAAAAGAACATAGGATGACATACTTGCCACTGTCTACAGAATGACAAATTTCTTGGGCTGGTTTGCAAAGTTCTTTATACTTTTTCCTCATCATACTGTGTTTAGTTTTTGGTTTTGGTTTTGTTGTTATTAATTTCTTTCTGATTTTCTCTTTATTCATTTTGTTAATATATGTATTAAAGTCCTACTAATTGCCAGCTCTGTGGGAATACAGTGATGAATGAGATAAACAGTTCTGTTCTCAAATAGATTATAGACTACTGGGAAATATAGAAAAGTAAAAAACACTATGACAATGGAGTAGAATTAGAAATTTGGTATTGTTCTGTGTGAATCCATGTATGGATTTAAGTTCAGAATGGGAAGGACCTACAATGTCCAGTGTTTCATAAAAATCCTACCAGATTGTTTCCAATACCAAGGTTGATGGAGGCACTGTACTTAAAGAATCTGTGGCCTGCCTTGTGAGTTTCAGTCTGCTCTACAGAGCGCCAGGACAGGTTCTACATGCTCAGGTCCAAACAAGATCCAGTCAGGTAAACCCAGAACTCCTCTATCTCTGAGCTCTACCACCTGAAGCTAAACTGTTATTAATATTTGCCATTCACTTCCCCGAGGCCAGAGGGTCTATCCCATGTCACTGAAAGGGGATACCCAGAGAAAGTATTGAAGATTAAAACAACCTCCAAATACTATTTGCTTGTGTCCAGCTAAGAAATATTTTCAGATCTAAATCCCTATAACTTCTTTCCTAATTTTAAAGCTTTTATATATTAACATTTTGAATTTTTATGAAAGGGAAGCCCCTTCATTTCAGAAGAATGTCAGCTAATAAATATAGATGAAAGGACTAAATTAGGAAAATGCTATT